ACGTAGACAATATGTAATGATACATATGTGGTTTAGTATGAATATTATGAAAATTTTGGAATGCTATATTTACTAAAGTTGTAAGACATATAACTTAAAACAATAAATAATAATCATAATAATAATTTTATAAAAATTACAAACAAATCAATTAACAGTAAGAACGATACCCTGAAAATATTTGTTTGAAATAAAAAAAGCGGATACGGCCATAACCCCAAAATTCAACCAATCTGCCTTTTGAGGTATGGGACCTTGTGGTGCAATTTCAAACAAATCCATATACTTATACTCAAGTTATTGTCCGGAAACCAGAAAAAAATGTTTTATTTTGGTCCTTTTTTGGCCCAAAATTCTAAAATGGTTAGGTCATAACCCCCAAAATCAATCCCAACCTTTCTTTAGTGGTATGACACCTTGTGGTACAATTTCATATAGATCCATACATTAAAGCCCTTAATGGCTTCAATGCACATTATATTGAGCATCAAATCTGAGGACTTACCTTGTTTGTATTGGACAACTAAGCTTCACAAAATTCCGTACAAACAACGTTACATTACCGGCTCATCTGCATGTTCTACACAGGAATTGTCCATTAGATTGACAAAAATTCTCACTACTGTAACAACAGCCCATGAAAAGGCCGTGAAATGTCTGTGAAATATCACAGGGCCGTGAAAACCCCGTGAAAATACCCCGTGACTTTTGTAAAAAAAATATTTCTAAAGGCCGTGAAAAGTATTTGATGTTAGAAAAAGACCGTGAAATTTCAATATCCCGTGAAAATGCTGTGATAATTTGTCCTTTCATGCTTAATAAAAAATATCACGGCCTTTTCACTGGTTGATGAAACCAGTGAAAAGGCCGTGATATTTTTTCATGTCAATTTTTTCTTATCCTAATTCAGATTTAAAACATCCCATGTGATTATTGTAATATGGTCTAATTATTTCCACTCACATTTTTCTAAATATCCTATAAACTTTTCATTATGAATATATGTCTGTTTAAATATTATTATATGCAATACTACTGTACAGGACTGATTTTTAAATGGAACCATTCACTGTTATAATTAATGACTTTGTGCCAATAAATATTTTGTATTTAAAGAAAAGTATTTTGCTTCTCGTCTGTACATTATAATAAACAATGTAAACATTAATTTTAATTGGAACCGAAACATGTAAAAACGAGAACTTCCCGGAATATCACACCGTATCCGGATTCGTGTTTCTTTTAGAGTAATTGTAACATGTCCGCAAGCTGGTTGGAAATTTGAAGGGAAAACGGTACTATTTATTCTGTCATAGGCGACAATACTAACATTTTCTAAATTTACCAGTTTTTATAATAAAAACCTGGATAAAACAGTTATGTGTGGTGTACTTTATTATTCTGTTTTAAAAATTGAAGCCGAATAGTATCATGACCAACTTCCAACGGAGCTTGTTTATGTTATCCATGGAATCCATGACAAATCGCCCCACTGGCAAATCGCCCCACACCTAATCGCCCCACTTTTTCACCAACTCGCCCCACTTCGAAAAAAATCGCCCCACTCTTGTTTACCAACTCGCCCCACTCTTGTTTACCAACTCGCCCCACTTATGAAAAGGGTAAAATCCCATTGAAAATAGGTTGGATAACATGCCCCACTCATGAAAAGGGTTAAAATCCCGCTGAAATAAGGTCTGCCAACTCGCCCCACTCATGACAAATAGATAAACCACGATGAATTTAGTAATGCCAACTCGCCCCACTTATGGAAAAAGATGCTATCCCGTTGTATATGTTCCTGCCACTTATAAATAAAATCAATACCTATGAAAACCTTAGATAAACATCTTTTGTAATTCTTTTCTTTTTGTTTTTCTTTTCTTTTTGTTTAAATAAGGCAGTAAGAAGTGAGTACCAGTTTTTCGGTGACGTGAATGTCAACTCGCCCCACTTGTGAAAAATAGAAAAATCCTGATGAATTGAGTTATCCCAACTCGCCCCACTTATGAAAAATAGGAAAATCCTAATATTGAGTCATGCCAACTCTTTACACTTATGAAAAAGGAAGTAATACCGTTGAATTTATGTCTGCCAACGTACCCAACTGATAAATAAAAGTATGAATAGAATTAATGGCTACCAACTAGCCCCACTTATGAATAAAATGATTAAACTGTAAGGAGTGTAGGCCTTCCAATTCTGCCCACTTATGAGAACGTTAGAAATGCATCTTTTTTTTTTGGTTCTTTTCTTTTGGTTGAAATAAAACAGAATACATAATTATGCATAACAATAACATTTAAAACAAACATACATTAAATCAGTTATGACAAGCACTGGCATGATAACATAAAAAGAAGTACTAGATGAAATGTCAGCACTAGAAACAAGAACATGAATACATTGTCATTAGAAAGTTCAGTAGCTGTCTGCTTCCACGACTAGACCGTTGACACGACCACACTGGCGTAAGAGTCTGGTTGTAGATATGCTGCCTGCAATATACTGCTCCCACATGTTGAATAGGATGGCTTGGGGTTTACCTTTACGTTGTACGTGTAACCGTGGCTGTCCACAAGCTTACGCTTGCCCTGCTGTGTACCGGACTCAACTGTTGTGTAGGTGATGGTATCTGGAGCAATCTCAACGTTGTTGATGGAATCGTCTAAGATCGAGCTGTAAAAAAATCGATTATATAAATTACTTACATTTTTCAATTATGTCATTACTTTAAGCAAGTAATACTGAACAGCACAATTACATGTAATATACGAATACATCCGAGTAGAAGACAACCTCAAGTTACTCTCATAAAAACTTTATTAAATCTAATTGGCAGTCAAATACTTCTTATTTTTACAATTTATGATATTACAATTTTATAATAAATACACGAAAAGAAATATTAAATATACATATATTGAATTAACGTAGAAAATACAATGCTTACACTTCAAGTTGAACAGTTGGCACTTCAAAGGAAGCACTGATGTTGAAGGACAGCTCTGGCTCTTGAAACACCTCTGGGTCATCTGGCTGTTGGTCTGAATCTGTTTGGTCTTGATGAACGGACTGATCTGCAAGGTCTGTCTGCAGTAAAGACTGATCATCTGGGTTGGGTGCTTCACAAGGCGTACATCGCCAGCTTATAGACATAAATTTCTCATTTTTGTTTGTTTTCAAAGCATAAACAAAACTTACCAATCAATTTTTCAACAACAACAAAACCTGCTTATAGGGGGAGGGTTGAGATCTCAAAAAACATGTTTAACCCCGCCGCATTTTTGCGCCTGTCCCAAGTCAGGAGCCTCTGGCCTTTGTTAGTCTTGTATCATTTTTAATTTTAGTTTCCTGTGTATAATTTGGAGTTTAGTATGACGTCCATTATCACTGAACTAGTATACATATTTGTTTAGGGGCCAGCTGAAGGACGCCTCCGGGTGCGGGAGTTTCTCGCTGCATTGAAGACCCATTGGTGGCCTTCGGCTGTTGTCTGCTCTATAGTCGGGTCGTTGTCTCTTTGACACATTCCCCATTTCCATTCTCAATTTTATTTGACTACTTTTACTAACAAAAACACGACACACGCTTATTGTAAATGAAAGGATGGGCATTCTCTTTGATATTTACTTGAAAGTTACATTTGCCTTTCACTGATTGCTCGTTAGTGTTTAATTATTCTTAATTCAAAGACAAAAGTAACCAATCCGGTAAGTGCTATGATAACAAATTGCTGTTAATTGAAATCCTTCAATTGTTATGATATATCGCATTATGATACAATTAACAGGTTTCTTTTCAATTGTTATGCAAATAACTATAAGCTTACAAGAATAAAGTTATTCTGCAATAATACGAAAATTATATTTAGAATTATAATTTCAGAAAGTGAAACATCATTTAATTTCAATAATAATAATTAAATAAATTTTCGTTTTTTTGTATTCTGTGTAGATTAGTTTTCATTTAAGTGGGGCGAGTTGGCAGACATGAAAATTATATATTCATCTAGATATTACCCAATCTTATTAAAATAAGTTCACATCACTTGCTCCTCGATTTTTTATATGTCGCCGTGTGAGATCTTAATACACCCGATTGATAACCCTGTCTAAGGTCAAATTTGCTGTAGCCAATCAACGACGCGGCTTCAAAATCTTTGGGTATTGAACAGGCATAGACGTTATCGTGGCGTCTAGAGTTGTTCCGAATGTAAAATAACAAATATGGCAGCCTCCATGCGATGTTCATTTCATGAACTAAATCGTCAAAATTTATTGAATTAACACACTACCAAATAATTTAAATGGCGTCGTGTCAATTAAATACGCCGAGAAAGATATGTATGAGGTCAAACAGTTGTGTATTGTGTGGATTTTCGTTCATAAACATTGAAATTTTGCCAACGGGAGAGCGGGTTGAAAAAAAACTCTTCAAACAAAAACTGAAATTGACCCCCGACAGAGTATCTCAAATTACAACTGTTGTTACTTGTTTCAAAGTTAATGCAGACTTAGACAAAGACAATGGTGTCTGCATGAAATGCTTCCGAAAAGTAGAGCAGTCAATAAAACTGCAAAAAGATTCATTGAAAATGCAGGTTGAGTTGTCAGCTTCACGTTTAAAAGTGCAACAGAGTGTGCTTAATTTACCCTCACCTAACAAATTTAACATTGAGAAACGGATGTTAAGATCCCCATCAACAGCACAAGTTTCAAAACAAATTAAAACATTACCAACAAGTCCGTCTGTTAAGACGTTGTGTAATGTCCCAAGTTTCCAATCAATTGTGATCAAGGCAACCAGTGGAGAACAATTAGTAGCAATAGCTCCAATGCCAGCTCCAATGCTGCAGAAACAGTTAATACAAGGAATTACTCCTTTGCCAATGCTTGATCAACAAACACAGTTATCAGACAATTCAGGTAAGTTTACTTCTGATAAACAAACTTGTTACACATATAAAAAAATAAATTAATATTAAAATAAGGGAGGCATTATGCAGTTTGTGTTCAGTAATGCTACATACATTTGTACTGAGTTGAATTGAAATTGAGACTGGAAATGGGTCAAAGTGACAACATGGACAACAACCCAATCAAAGGGCATAATACAGCCCAAGGCCAAAAATGGGTCTTCAACACAGCGAGAAAATCACACGATTGGAGGCGGGCTTTAGCTGGCTTCTAAACAGAAATGTGTACTAGTGGATGAAAATGGACATCACTCCGAAGCATATAAATGAACTAAAATTTAAAAACATACAAGACTAACAAAGGCCAGCTGAGGGACCTGACTTGGGACAAGTGCTAATATTATATGCAGTGGCATGGGGTTAAACATGTTTTGTGAGATCTCAACCCTATTAAGTTACCAGTATGTACTATATATATATATACAAATCTTCCACTATTGTTACAATTGAGTGTAACTATTTCCAATCTACAGTTACTGTGTCAGCACCCAATAAGTCAATCAAGAGGTCTCTAAAATTTTCTGGAGTCGGGAAAGAAAATTTATCAACAACCAAATGCAAAGGAGAAGTAGAGGTGCCAAGCAAAATGTTATCTTTTTTTTTTATTTTATATAAGTTGTTGCCAGTAATGACATTAAGCAATGTGTACAATAACCATGTACATGTAATAAATTAAAGTTTTCTGCTCAACCCTATGGTTATCTAATCAAAATAAGCTAGCTTGCAAAAATGTATAATGTTAGAAATTTAAAAGAGTTTGATGTTTCAGCACACATACATTTTTTGTACCATGCCATGCAATACTAAATGTATACATTTGTATGTATACATGTATACACAATTTTTCATTCTCATGGAGTAATAAAACAAAACAATGTAAATAAGATGATTTGAATTGCTTCAAATAAAACTTGTACATGTTTAAGTAAAATGTAGTAATTTACTGGCAATAACTTTTCATTCAGATTAGATTAGATTTAAACCAGTTAAATTCAGTTTATTATTACTGTTATTTCAGAGATTGAGCTTACACATGTAATGTACAAGCACCAACAATGACCAAGCTTAAGACTCCAAGAGATACATTTTTTATTATCATACTGGCAATGAAAAGTTTATACATACATATTTTGTACATTTATAGCTTTTAGATTTTTTGTTTTCACAAAGAACAAATGATTTGAGATGGCTGCCTTTCATAATAAAAGTTTTGGTCCTTGTAAATTTGTACATGTACATGTATGTTGCTGTAGCTAGTATTATTATGATTATGTGACACATCAATGCAATTTATATAATGGTACTATACCTTATTTGTACCAATTAAAAAGCATACATGTATCAACATGAATGTTTTTAATTCTTTTCAGTTAATCAAAAGGAAGGCAAACTAAAAAAATGCAAATTAATGGCTTTTGTGATGAGAAGGGGGGATCATTTAGATTACAATGATGTGATTGTAATTTATAAATTCTAAAGTTTTATTTTTCAACGTATTTATGATGTGGAAAAACTATGAACTGAGGCGTACCTTAAAAATAATTAATATTGTTATTTATTGTCCAAATACTTCATTTATTGAATTATTAAATATTTTAAGTATAATTGTATGACTTATTAAGACGTTATGTCTTAGTGATAAAGTTGCACAGATTAACATACAGTATGAAATTTTATTACATCCTGAATCCTGGTTCCTGGTTTTTCTACTATTCATATTTATTTGCATTTGTTCATTACAGTTAAAACTAACAGAATAATTTTGCATTACAGGTTAAATTGTTAAAATTCATGATCATTTAAATAGTTGAGTTTATATTTGGACCTATACTTGATAAGAAGGTAAGTGCAAAACTTATAGTGTGAAGAATGCTTGAAAATCAATGAGGCTACAATGCTCATTATAAATAAGAGAGGCAACTCTTTAAGACCAAATTTGGACATAAGCAATTATATATTTAGGAGGGGCCTGATGGGGGGGGGGGGGGCGGGGGTCTCATCACTATTCACAAGTTGATTTTTTTGTCAATCACGATTCACAGAAAATGAATTTCCATGATGACAGATCACGAAAATATAAAAAAAAAAAATCTGTAGAAAAACAGATCACGATAGCGAAAATGCGCCAATCACAAAGAACGAAAATAACCCCTCATTTAGGTCACAGAAAATGACCAAACACTGAGTCAACTATAATCTCATTTGTTTAATTATAGTAGTAGGACATTTCACTAAATTAATTGTTGAAAATCTTTTATATCAGAGTTCATTTGTAAAGTACACAGACAAATTTATTTATAAAGTGCCTAGAAAATCAACCTAACAATGTTAGAGTAGATCTTATTCTTTACTTCCTCCCCGACCGGGGCTGGAACCTGCACTTATCTTCTACGGCAACACCAGACAAATTTATTTATGATATATGTAATTTGTTCAAACTTTCAAAGCTTCAAATTTATCATTTTCGGCAAATTTTAGGAATATAAGATTTATTTTATACAGCAAAATAAAACCTTTTCATACAAGTACTTAAACATGAACAAATATTCAATCCATTAACTTTTAAATATTTCATAACAGATCACAGTGTACCATGCAAGTGGTAAAAAGACTTTTCTGGTCCAGAATGAAACAAACCAGAAAATATGCAAGGCTATTATGCGTAGCAGCAACAGTGACAAATTAATAGTAGATGCTATCTGTAAAACAAATCCGTTAGAGGTAGTTAATGGATGTAGGAGAATTATAGAGGAGGAAAGTGCATGTATTTCAAAAAGAGGTTCAGGGACAGTATTACAAAAAAAAGACTACACCAACTTCTTTAACTTTAACTGGGATGATTTCAACGATGAACTCAAAGCAAAATATCCAGCACTTTTGTCAATAGTAAATTCAATGGTATCAAATGTGCCAATTACTGTACTTGGTAAACCATTTCTTCATGTATTGATGACTTCGGCAATTGGTCTACATGGCAGAAACCAGGAGATGTCAATGGTACAATTCATGACAGGATTTTTGTTGACTCATGGTGGATGTACACAAAGGGTACTATGATTAATTGTGATAAAATTATTTGTGAGCTAATGCTTCTTCAAATATTTGTGTTAATCTTTTAGCATGGTGTAGATCTATGAAAACAAGTTCATTTGAGTAATCCTAGTCAAAAGTTTATGTATACATCTTTAACTCTTTCTTATTAATGTGATAATTTAAAAAAGAAAGCTGCTTTTTTGGTTGACAATTGACTGTTGAGACGAAACAGGGAACCATGTACACAAATAGGTCACTGTACGGCCTTCAACAATGAGCAAAGCCGCATAGTCAGCTTTAAAAGGCCCCTAAATGACAAATGGAAAAAACAATTCAAACGAGAAAACTAACGGCCTAATTAATGAGCAAATAAATGAACGAAAAACAAATATGTTAGGCCAAACAAAAAAGTATGTGTGTTTACTGTCACATGCTGGAAAAAAAATTAGGGTAGGTAGGGATTTTTTTTAATGTTTATTTCTTTTTTTACATTGAGTCTATGGGAGCAACATTGTGACTTCAACAGTGCTTCATCAAAAACGGTCTAAAAAACTTTAGGGTAGGGGATAAAAATTAGGGTAGGTAGGGGTACAGTAAACACACATACTTTTTTTTTGCCTAACACAGCAACAAACGACAACCACTTAATTACAGGCTCCTGACTTGTATATGTTTTTTTAACATTATTTTTTAATTTTATATGTAGAACATTGAAAGGCTATCGCATCTTGGATTAAGTGTGCATCCTGTTACTATACACAGAAAGTTAGCAGAATGGCAAAAGTTTTTAGACAAAACCATACTTAGCATAAAAGAAGAATGGGAAAAAGGTGGTCGTCAGAAATATCAACTTATTGGGGACAACTGGGACAAAAATATACTTCCTTCTTACAGGACATCTGATCGGAAAACAGTTTCTGTACATTTGTTCAATATTTATGCAATAGTAGACAGAATTCTGCCAGTGCCTATGGTAAGGGAAGAATTTGCACATCAAGATCTGCCGGTAATAGATTTTCTACCATCTATTGAAGACCAAACAAAGCTGCGGAAGGAGTTGAATTTTATAATCTCAACATCTATTGTCAATTGCCACCCACATATGCAAAAGATGTTCCATAATATTCTCCCAAAACACTTGGAGCATAGATATACAGAATATGCAGGAGTCAAGACTAGACAAGTATGTTAAAGGAAATATTTTTGTTTTGTTTTTAAAAGCATCTGTTAATCTGGTTAAAGTTTTTGGTGAAGGTTTTAAGGATGAGTTTGTAGCAACAGCAACTTAAAACTTATATATATCAAAAGATTATGTCCGGCATTGTTCACGCGACAAACGGGAGAGTGTTATGTATAAATATACTTCAATAGAAATAAAAATAAGAAGATGTGGTGTGATTGCCAATGAGACAACTCTTCACAAGAGACCAAATGACACAGAAATTAACAACTATAGGTCACTGTACGGCCTTCAACAATGAGCAAAGCCCATACCACATAGTCAGCTATAAAAGGCCCCGAAATGACAATTCAAACGAGAAAACTAACAACAGTACATTTAGTCGCGATATTATCTTTTTTAATAGTATGCCAATTTCATGGGTATTCAAATTCAAATTATTTTATTGATTTTAAATCCAACATGATTGATGGTCTTGATAGTGCATGGTGTCCTGTGCATTTAAGTAATAAAACAAGGGATGTTTGGTCTTTATTTATGACTTTTTTCAAAAGCATTTTAAGATTTCATGTTTTTTTTCCTTTGCAATACGTTTACAAAAATGTATCCAATTAGAAGATTTTTTTTTTTAAATTTGAAGTTTTATAAGTTATAACTCTTGTACCTTCTCCTTTTAGTTTCCATTTGGACTGTATGACTGTAATGAAAATAAAACCCCTGAGTTAATAAAATTGATGAAAGAACTCTCAAAGCAATATGTTCCATGTGCAAATGGAGAAATTGTAGAACCAGTTTTCTTTGGAGGTCAGTATTTTATATCCAATGTACTAATAAACTGATATTTAGAGGTTAATGTATTGTAATAATACAACTGTCCTACATGTAATAAATAAATAACGATGAAACATCAATTTCATGTAACATTAATTTATCACATTGAATTTGTTTCATTTTTGGATATGAATACGGATTTATTAAAAGGAAATGCAGCAACAGAACAATTAAAGTTAACATAATGTGCGCAAAGGCAGAATACTTCAGTAATGTGATTGTTAGTGGTAAACTTGTAGCCTATTCCCAATTTAAATGATATTGTTCTGAAAAGCTTGAAGAACCATATTTTATTTATTTATTAGGAGACAGACTTACTGATGAGAGAATGCAATCTGCTCAAAATGCAATGGCAAATGGTCACACTGCTATGGAAAGACTTGAAGGCTTCATTTCAAAAATTGAAGATTTTCACAGATTGATGAACTTTTTGCAGGTATGGTCACATTTGTATCTATTTAAAGTCACTTTTACTTGAGGCCTCATCTCAGTTAAAGCAAGTTAATGAAACAACAACAGAAAACAACTCTGACTTGGTACATGGCTAACACAAAACTTATATTTTTGGATACGCCCCCCCCCCCCCCCCAAAAAAAAAATGAACTCTTCCATTATTCTTACTCCTATATGCTTCATGAGAGACTGATTCATTTTGAAAGTCTTTATTTAAAAGCACAAATGACATAGTACTTGTTCAGCAGCATAACCAAGATACATTTTATTGGTATGCAATATCTTGTTTAATTTGTAGTGGGGTATACTAAGCATATCATGCATTCTTATTATATGATTCCAAGACATATTTTTTATGTTTCTCTCCTTAATTCTGCAATGCATATAATTTGTTTTATATTCTTTACAAACATTTTTGTTGCAGAAAGCTCTACATAGGGATAGTGATCCGGCGGCGGCGTTAGCTAACTTCTTAAAAGCTTTATATTTTAGAAGCTAGAAGACCTGGATGCTTCATACTTTGTATATAGATGCCTTATGTTACGAAGTTTCCGTCTGTCATATGTCCATTGTCCTTGACCTCATTTTCATGGTTCAGTGACTACTTGAAATGAAAGTCAACAAACATTTTTTGTAATGTTAATATCTTTCTTATTATGAGTAATAGGATAACTAAATTCATGCCCGTCAGACAATTTTCATTTGACCTCGACCTCATTTCATGGATCAGTGAACAAGGTTAAGTTTTCGTGGTCAAGTCCATATATCAGATACTATAAGAACTAGGTCTGCTATATTTGGTATATGGAATGATTGTAAGGTGTACATGTCCAACTGGTAGGTGTCATCTGACCTTGACCTCATTTTCATGGTTCAGTGGTCAAAGCTAAGTTTTTGAGTTTTGGTCTTTTTTCTAATACTATATGCAATAGGTCAACTATAAATGGTGTATGGAAATATTTTATGATGTACATGTCAGTCTCGCAGGTTTTATTTGACCTCAGAGGCGGATTTAGGGGGGGGGGGGCAGGGGGCCTAGGCCCCCCCCTCTTTTTTGGAAAAATTTGGTTGATTATATAGGGAATCACTGAAGCATGACTGGAGCGGGCCCCCTCTTAGGCAGTCAGTGGGCCCCCACTTATGAAAATTTCTGGATCCGCCACTGGACCTTGACCTCATTTTCACGGTTCATTTCTCAGTGTTAAGTTTTAGTGTTTTGGTCTGTTTTTCTTTAACTATAAGCAATAGATCAACTATATTTGATGTATGGAAGGATTGTAAGGTGTATATGTCTGTCTGGCAGGTATCATCTGACCTTGACCTCATTTTCATGGTTCATTGGTCAATGTTAAGTTGTCATGGTTTAGTTTGTTTCTTAGATACTATAAGCAATAGAACAACTATATTTAATATCTAAATTGATTGTAATGTGTACATGTCTGTCTGGCATGGTTCATCTGACCTTGACCTCATTTTTTATGGTTCATTGGTCAATGTTAAGTTTTCTTGTTTAAGACTGTTTCTTAGAAACAATAAGCAATAGGTCAACTATGTTTGGTTTATTGAATGATTGTAAGGTGTACATGTATTTCTCGTTTGGTTTATCTGACCTTGACCTCATTTTCTTGGATCATGTTAAGTGTATGTGTTACTTGTAGTAAAGCTTTGTATTTAGGACTATCAACATAAAATCAATGGTTAGTAAAGAAGGCGAGACATTTCAGCGTGTGCACTCTTGTTATATTATTCATTGTCTCAATATTTTTTCTTGTAGGCAATCCACAAAATGACATACTCAACAGAGAGTGTTGCGGATAAGTGCAGTGTATACTATTATCGTAACTTACTTAATATGAGGAATGTTAAGGGGAAAGTTTGCAATTCATATCGTGCTTACAAAATGTTGTATTATGCCATTCTTGATGCAATAATTTTGAACATGTTTTTGCGTCATTTGAATTTGGAGGATGTTGATCAGGAGATCAAAATACCATTTGCAACTATGAACAACGAGGAAAAACTATCTTGGTTATATGATGTCAGCAACTCAATAGTAGAAGAATGGTTTTTTTGTGGTCAATCAGATATTTTTATAAAGTGTAAAGACGTAGTAGGAGATCCAGAACACCCTGACAACTACTGGGTATCGACATTGGAAGATGGCCGTGTAATGTGTCACTTTTGTGACAAGACATACGCCTATACAGGGTCTTTGAAATCACATGAAGCTAAATGTCACAATGTCAAAATTGGAATGTCTAAGAAAAGTAAAAAAGAAAAAAAAAAAGATGAACTGCAGAATCATATTGTAATGCTTTTCAAACTTATTCTGTTACATAAGAATCTAGACACTGCAGTAGATATGGGAGATGGGGAACGAGTTGTACGTTCAGCTAAATATGAACTGCCAATATATAATCTTACAAACAAAACAAAATATCTCATTGGTTCTGTCCATCTTACTGCACTAACTTCAGGTTTGTTACCAGCAGAACAATCAGAAAGATTAATTTCCAATAGATTTGTAAATCTACAAGGTGGATCAAACAACAACATAAGCCTGGATGAATATCTAGAGATGCTGAACAGAGACACTAAAGTAACATGTTCAGCACATCAGACAAAGGAGAGTATTCTTCAACACTCCAAAGAATATCCACACTTAGTAAATTTTGTAAATCATTTCGATAACATTACTCATCTTACGGGGAAAAAAGGTTTTCATCACATACCAACATACCAGGCAGATGTACAAAAAATTACAAAAGACTTAATGCAAGAAAATGTTTTATCATATAAAACAGCAAGAACAATGCAGTGCAAGGACCTCATAAAAGACAGAAATCCATTTGACAATGCATATTTTGGACTTCGTACTATGATTCATCGCCATCAACCAACAGTCCCTTTCCACCGCCTTCGTAACACACATATTTGAACTTAATTAAAAAATCTGCTTCAATGTATAATCTAATTGCTTTAAGTTTCATTTGTTCAAACTGAAAACATATTTGTTCTGTTTTTTTCAGTGACCACTTTCAACTTCTGATGAATTCATTAAATGATTGTCCTGAATTTGCATGAGATGTTTGCTTATGAATGTTCAGCGAAGAATGAACAATGCATGCTCTCTGGTTACAAGTAAATGAGTTGAAATATCCAAACATGCCATATTAAAGATATGATTGTTAGTAAGACAATAACCCAAAAGAGACCATGAATAAACAATACTGCATTCAACAATGACCATAAATAGGTAACAATACTGCCTTCAACAATGACCAAAACTGGAAGATTTCAATAAGAAAATCATGTCAGTATTATTGCTTTACTAAAGTTTCTGAATATAAAATGCATTTGATGTATATTTTTTTTTGGTCCAGCTCACTTATACAATGCCATACATTTATGTAGTCTATGTGCCTTTGGTGTGTCCAATTGTTCTTTTGTCCGGCCCGCCAAACCAGGACAAGGTTAAAGTTTTTTTGTTAATTTAGTTAAAGATGTGGTATGATTACGAATAAGACATCTCTTGATCAATGACACCATTTAGTTAAAGTAAACAATTATAGGTCACATCTTCAAGTTGCCTCACATCAAACTGTAAAGGGTCCAAAGATCTGTGTATAACAATTCTAACAGGACAGACATTTGATCAAAACAATAAACGAAAAGCACATATGAACTATATGCTAAAATAGGTTTTCGACTTGGACCCAAATTTTACTTTTTGTCTGGTCTGCGTCTTCTTTTGCAGAAAGCGAGACTTAGGGATAGTGATGCGGCAATGACGTAAGCTTGACTTAAAAACTTATTATTTTTAAAGATAGAAAACCTTGATGCTTCATACTTTGTATACAGATGTCTTATGTTACAAACTTTTCACCCGTCATGACTAATGACCTTGACCTCATTTTCATGGTTCAGTGACTACTTGAAAAAAAAAGTTGAATTTTTGCAATGTCAATCTTATTAAAATATTTTTACATTACTTGCTCCTTGATTTTTTTATATGTGGTGCAGTGTGTGTTGAACAGGCAAGACATTTAAGTGTGTCCACTCTTGTTAATGAGTATTCTTAGGTTAGAGTTTTTGTGAGTGCTAGGACACATTTGAGTATACATGTATTGTGGTGCTAGACATTACTAAAAATAAACGAACTTGACATTTGGTTAAACTAGTAACACCATATGCCTATGTTACTATTGGTGAAACCTATGTTGACCTTTATATCTAATTTTTTTTGTTGGATTACTGTCTCACTTGTGTATACCACTTACTGCTGGCCCATGGATACCCATTATTTTTACACTTGTGTATTCCCCTAACTACTGCTTGTATACCCCTATTGCTGTCTCACTTGTGTATACGTGTTGTCACATTTGTGTATACCCCTCACCCTAGGCCTCCTTTCAGAAATAATTTCTTCCTCAAATCATGAAATTTTATGGTTTCTTTTGGACAATTAGGAATTGTTATTTTTATAAAGTTTAATCGCAATTTGAATGAGCCTGTATTGAACCAGAAACATGAACAACACAAATTGTTTTTAATCATCTTGTATTTCTAAAAGACCCAAATCAAGGTCTTCAAAATAATCATACTCCGACAGGTTGTAGCTTTCAGTGTCACTATCTGAAAAAGAATCGTCATGTCCCTCTTCGACAACATGTTCAGCCAGAAAAAGTTTTTCTAAAGGCAACAAAGTGCACGAATTACAACTACATCTGCTTGCACACAGGTCGCAACATGAATGCTTCCCACACTCTTTCGATTCCATTTCATGCAAGTCAGAATTTCTCAAAAAGTTTGACATTAACTCCTTCCTCCTACATTCTTTTGTCCTTAAAATAGCCTTCACTTCCGGGCTTAATTTCTGCTGGTGGTAACCATTATACAGAATAATGGCAACAGATGGATTGCCATCCCTGCCTACTCGCCCTATTTCCTGTAACATGTCCACAAGGTTATTTGGAGGTCCAAATAAAATCACAGAGTTGCACATCTTTACATCAAACCCCATTCCCAAGGCACTGGTTGATAGAATTATCCTTATAGCACTGCCTTCATCCTTCAAAGCATGTATTATCATGTTCTTATTGCTATCTGGTGTCTCAGAATGAAACATCTCTACATACTTTGTGCAACTGGGAAGTTCAGTAGTAATGTATTTATATAATTTGGAGGTGTCATTTATTGATGAACAGTAAATTATGGTTCTTGGGAAATCTCCTTTCTTTTCATCTAAGGCATCTACCAACCATGTCATCCCCATCTCGATTTCATTTTTTATTTTTGAGGACACAAGTTTGATGTTTGATTTGTTTGGTGACATATTTATTTCTTTGGTATCATCAGTTAATTGCAAAATTTTCATAACTTTTTGGCGGATGTTGACTGTGCAAGTTGCACTCAAAGCTAGTACTGTAGCCTCTGGAAAAAGAGATCTCAATTCCCCAATATTACCAAACCACTTTCTAAAGGCTTCTTTTCTTCCTCCTTCACCTTGACCCCTGAAAATGTAAAAATATGTAAATCTATAAATGACTAGTATCTAGGTAGTTTCACTTAAACATAATTTATAAGGCTACAAAATATAGAGAATGTGTCCAAACTTGCATTTTACATTATAAAAGGTCATAAGGGAACAACCATTTAAATAATTGTAATAGCGTTGAAAAAATAAATAAAATTGTTCGTGCAAAGCAAAAAAACCATAGCCCCCCCCCCCCCCCCCCCTTGAAGTTAAATGTGACACTGCCCAAATTCAAACTTGAACAGTGTTTTGTGGTAACAAGTCTTGTATATATATATATATATATATATGTAATTGTTTCTTTTATTTGAGGCAAATTAAAGTTAGAGAATGGAAACAACAGATTTTGCAATTTTTCCATTAATAAAGGGGCTTTAAGTGACACCACCCAAATTTGAAATTAAAATGTGTTTGTATAAGTTTCAAAAACATTTTGAGACAAACTAAAGTTACAGAATCAAAAATTATGGGACGTGTATGTACAGACAGACAGACGGACGGATAAGGGTAAAACTTAATGCCCAATTGCCTAGTTACAGTGGTATAAAAAAGGCTGAAGGTACATTTTAATGTTCCAACTCTTACCTTTTCTCAGCAGTTTTAATTGACAGGTTCTGACATTTTTGTTATTTTTTTACATAATTTTTCTCATTGATTTGTAGTGTTCACTCAATCAATGGTGAGGTCTTTAGTTTGGTTTTGCTCATTGTTGAAAGTTGCACTGTTGCCTATTGTAACTTTGTGTGCAACTTAATTATTTGGTTGCTCTGCCACATAATGGTGCTAATACACTTAACAAATATGTTCATTATATATACTAGGGCTTATAACAATGTAGGATACAATAAAGAAGTTGGATTTGAAGTTTAAATAATACAAAAACTCAATATACATTTCCTTGAAAAAAGATAAAGAAATGGTGAAATATATGTTTGGCCTTTGATTTGTTTTGGGAGACCCACTTTTTTTGCCCAAAGAAACATATACATGTACATGTGTATAGTTATAAGTAAACATTAATATTGAAAAAGGGCATTGCCTGTACTTACCAAATTGCTATTGTGTGAAACTCATCAATCACAATTACTTTTATGTTTAACTTCTTCAAGCAATTTCTCCATTCTGGATCACCTACTAATGTTTCTGGGGATGCATAAATTATGTCTATCAACCCGTCCTTGATATTGTCATCAATCTGGGAAGATGATCCTAAAATTAGAAAAAGATACATTAAATGTGTGTTGACAGTCAATATTAAACACAAGTAATAAAAAACAATTGCTTACACATACATGTAGTTTAAAGCAGATTAAGGGCTTTAAAATAAATATTACTTTGTTTGCTGTTCAGCTACCTACCCTGAAATATTGGCACTACCCAAGTAGTTTGATTGGAATTTAATACGCCATTTTCCAACACAAATAATCGTTATGCTCGTGTCTGTTTTAGATAGTTTATTTTGTTGAACAGTCTTCACACTAAGACACAGGCCCAGCAGCCCAGGCTTGTAAAATGTTTGGTGTGTGTATGTAGGTATACAAATCTAAGTCAATGGCTTCTTTTAATGATAAATGCAATTAAATTAAGATTTTTCTGTCGATGTGAAAATTTTTCACCTTGCCTTATGATGTAAATGTGAGACCTGTTAAAAAACCACACCGTGTCACAATTTATTTATAACCTCTTAAAACTTAATTTTGCCTGTTCCTATAGTATGGAGGACAGACATTTCATATTTCATTCCGACACGGCTCAGTTATTTATATTCAGCTTGTCACAGGACAAGTTATTTACTTTTTAAAAAAAATCTTGCCCCCCCCCTTTTATCAAATTGTCATCTGAAATCTTGTCAAATTGTATTATGTTGAAATAGTGGCAGTCTTTAGGGCCAGGTTTAAATATAAGAGTGATGCACATGTATATTTTCATTCTGTACATACATGATTTGATCACACAATGAGCTCTCTACTTTAAATTGTTGAGCCTTGAGGCTTTCGTGTTATGAAACACTTACCTTTGTATGCAGCAGAAAGGTTGGCAATATGAGATAGTTTCTCAACTTGGTCCTGCATTAACGCCACAAGGGGACAGCAGACTAACACCTTCCAGTCGGAACTGTTTTCACAAATCTCTCGAACTACTGGTAGGTACAGTTGAAAAGGCAACGACTTGCCAAACCCAGTCGGGAGGACAGCAACACAGTTCTTCTTACTAACTAAACATTCCAATATTACTTTTTGCTCCGTCTTTATACTATCTATGCCGAAATTTGGCAAAACATGAATCAAAACATCTTCTACACTGGGCGCTGCCATTTTTTTCAACGATACCGATAACGGTTTGAGAGCGCTTTGTTGATTGGTTTATTGTGAATGCCTTTCTAGACGCTGATTGGTCGGTCAAAGTTCAGCAAATTTGACCTTAGACAGGGTTATCAATCGGGTGTATTAAGATCTCACACGGCGACATATAAAAAATCGAGGAGCAAGTGATGTGAACTTATTTTAATAAGATTGATTCGTAATCATACCACATCTTTAACTAAATTAACAAAAAAACTTTAACCTTGTCCTGGTTTGGCGGGCCGGACAAAAGAACAATTGGACACACCAAAGGCACATAGACTACATAAATGTATGGCATTGTATAAGTGAGCTGGACCAAAAAAAAATATACATCAAATGCATTTTATATTCAGAAACTTTAGTAAAGCAATAATACTGACATGATTTTCTTATTGAAATCTTCCAGTTTTGGTCATTGTTGAAGGCAGTATTGTTACCTATTTATGGTCATTGTTGAATGCAGTATTGTTTATTCATGGTCTCTTTTGGGTTATTGTCTTACTAACAATCATATCTTTAATATGGCATGTTTGGATATTTCAACTCATTTACTTGTAACCAGAGAGCATGCATTGTTCATTCTTCGCTGAACATTCATAAGCAAACATCTCATGCAAATTCAGGACAATCATTTAATGAATTCATCAGAAGTTGAAAGTGGTCACTGAAAAAAACAGAACAAATATGTTTTCAGTTTGAACAAATGAAACTTAAAGCAATTAGATTATACATTGAAGCAGATTTTTTAATTAAGTTCAAATATGTGTGTTACGAAGGCGGTGGAAAGGGACTGTTGGTTGATGGCGATGAATCATAGTACGAAGTCCAAAATATGCATTGTCAAATGGATTTCTGTCTTTTATGAGGTCCTTGCACTGCATTGTTCTTGCTGTTTTATATGATAAAACATTTTCTTGCATTAAGTCTTTTGTAATTTTTTGTACATCTGCCTGGTATGTTGGTATGTGATGAAAACCTTTTTTCCCCGTAAGATGAGTAATGTTATCGAAATGATTTACAAAATTTACTAAGTGTGGATATTCTTTGGAGTGTTGAAGAATACTCTCCTTTGTCTGATGTGCTGAACATGTTACTTTAGTGTCTCTGTTCAGCATCTCTAGATATTCATCCAGGCTTATGTTGTTGTTTGATCCACCTTGTAGATTTACAAATCTATTGGAAATTAATCTTTCTGATTGTTCTGCTGGTAACAAACCTGAAGTTAGTGCAGTAAGATGGACAGAACCAATGAGATATTTTGTTTTGTTTGTAAGATTATATATTGGCAGTTCATATTTAGCTGAACGTACAACTCGTTCCCCATCTCCCATATCTACTGCAGTGTCTAGATTCTTATGTAACAGAATAAGTTTGAAAAGCATTACAATATGATTCTGCAGTTCATCTTTTTTTTTTTCTTTTTTACTTTTCTTAGACATTCCAATTTTGACATTGTGACATTTAGCTTCATGTGATTTCAAAGACCCTGTATAGGCGTATGTCTTGTCACAAAAGTGACACATTACACGGCCATCTTCCAATGTCGATACCCAGTAGTTGTCAGGGTGTTCTGGATCTCCTACTACGTCTTTACACTTTATAAAAATATCTGATTGACCACAAAAAAACCATTCTTCTACTATTGAGTTGCTGACATCATATAACCAAGATAGTTTTTCCTCGTTGTTCATAGTTGCAAATGGTATTTTGATCTCCTGATCAACATCCTCCAAATTCAAATGACGCAAAAACATGTTCAAAATTATTGCATCAAGAATGGCATAATACAACATTTTGTAAGCACGATATGAATTGCAAACTTTCCCCTTAACATTCCTCATATTAAGTAAGTTACGATAATAGTATACACTGCACTTATCCGCAACACTCTCTGTTGAGTATGTCATTTTGTGGATTGCCTACAAGAAAAAATATTGAGACAATGAATAATATAACAAGAGTGCACACGCTGAAATGTCTCGCCTTCTTTACTAACCATTGATTTTATGTTGATAGTCCTAAATACAAAGCTTTACTACAAGTAACACATACACTTAACATGATCCAAGAAAATGAGGTCAAGGTCAGATAAACCAAACGAGAAATACATGTACACCTTACAATCATTCAATAAACCAAACATAGTTGACCTATTGCTTATTGTTTCTAAGAAACAGTCTTAAACAAGAAAACTTAACATTGACCAATGAACCATAAAAAATGAGGTCAAGGTCAGATGAACCATGCCAGACAGACATGTACACATTACAATCAATTTAGATATTAAATATAGTTGTTCTATTGCTTATAGTATCTAAGAAACAAACTAAACCATGACAACTTAACATTGACCAATGAACCATGAAAATGAGGTCAAGGTCAGATGATACCTGCCAGACAGACATATACACCTTACAATCCTTCCATACATCAAATATAGTTGATCTATTGCTTATAGTTAAAGAAAAACAGACCAAAACACTAAAACTTAACACTGAGAAATGAACCGTGAAAATGAGGTCAAGGTCCAGTGGCGGATCCAGAAATTTTCATAAGTGGGGGCCCACTGACTGCCTAAGAGGGGGCCCGCTCCAGTCATGCTTCAGTGATTCCCTATATAATCAACCAAATTTTTCCAAAAAAGAGGGGGGGGCCTAGGCCCCCTGCCCCCCCCCCCCCTAAATCCGCCTCTGAGGTCAAATAAAACCTGCGAGACTGACATGTACATCATAAAATATTTCCATACACCATTTATAGTTGACCTATTGCATATAGTATTAGAAAAAAAGACCAAAACTCAAAAACTTAGCTTTGACCACTGAACCATGAAAATGAGGTCAAGGTCAGATGACACCTACCAGTTGGACATGTACACCTTACAATCATTCCATATACCAAATATAGCAGACCTAGTTCTTATAGTATCTGATATATGGACTTGACCACGAAAACTTAACCTTGTTCACTGATCCATGAAATGAGGTCGAGGTCAAATGAAAATTGTCTGACGGGCATGAATTTAGTTATCCTATTACTCATAATAAGAAAGATATTAACATTACAAAAAATGTTTGTTGACTTTCATTTCAAGTAGTCACTGAACCATGAAAATGAGGTCAAGGACAATGGACATATGACAGACGGAAACTTCGTAACATAAGGCATCTATATACAAAGTATGAAGCATCCAGGTCTTCTAGCTTCTAAAATATAAAGCTTTTAAGAAGTTAGCTAACGCCGCCGCCGGATCACTATCCCTATGTAGAGCTTTCTGCAACAAAAATGTTTGTAAAGAATATAAAACAAATTATATGCATTGCAGAATTAAGGAGAGAAACATAAAAAATATGTCTTGGAATCATATAATAAGAATGCATGATATGCTTAGTATACCCCACTACAAATTAAACAAGATATTGCATACCAATAAAATGTATCTTGGTTATGCTGCTGAACAAGTACTATGTCATTTGTGCTTTTAAATAAAGACTTTCAAAATGAATCAGTCTCTCATGAAGCATATAGGAGTAAGAATAATGGAAGAGTTCATTTTTTTTTTTTGGGGGGGGGGGGGGGCGTATCCAAAAATATAAGTTTTGTGTTAGCCATGTACCAAGTCAGAGTTGTTTTCTGTTGTTGTTTCATTAACTTGCTTTAACTGAGATGAGGCCTCAAGTAAAAGTGACTTTAAATAGATACAAATGTGACCATACCTGCAAAAAGTTCATCAATCTGTGAAAATCTTCAATTTTTGAAATGAAGCCTTCAAGTCTTTCCATAGCAGTGTGACCATTTGCCATTGCATTTTGAGCAGATTGCATTCTCTCATCAGTAAGTCTGTCTCCTAATAAATAAATAAAATATGGTTCTTCAAGCTTTTCAGAACAATATCATTTAAATTGGGAATAGGCTACAAGTTTACCACTAACAATCACATTACTGAAGTATTCTGCCTTTGCGCACATTATGTTAACTTTAATTGTTCTGTTGCTGCATTTCCTTTTAATAAATCCGTATTCATATCCAAAAATGAAACAAATTCAATGTGATAAATTAATGTTACATGAAATTGATGTTTCATCGTTATTTATTTATTACATGTAGGACAGTTGTATTATTACAATACATTAACCTCTAAATATCAGTTTATTAGTACATTGGATATAAAATACTGACCTCCAAAGAAAACTGGTTCTACAATTTCTCCATTTGCACATGGAACATATTGCTTTGAGAGTTCTTTCATCAATTTTATTAACTCAGGGGTTTTATTTTCATTACAGTCATACAGTCCAAATGGAAACTAAAAGGAGAAGGTACAAGAGTTATAACTTATAAAACTTCAAATTTAAAAAAAAAAATCTTCTAATTGGATACATTTTTGTAAACGTATTGCAAAGGAAAAAAAACATGAAATCTTAAAATGCTTTTGAAAAAAGTCATAAATAAAGACCAAACATCCCTTGTTTTATTACTTAAATGCACAGGACACCATGCACTATCAAGACCATCAATCATGTTGGATTTAAAATCAATAAAATAATTTGAATTTGAATACCCATGAAATTGGCATACTATTAAAAAAGATAATATCGCGACTAAATGTACTGTTGTTAGTTTTCTCGTTTGAATTGTCATTTCGGGGCCTTTTATAGCTGACTATGTGGTATGGGCTTTGCTCATTGTTGAAGGCCGTACAGTGACCTATAGTTGTTAATTTCTGTGTCATTTGGTCTCTTGTGAAGAGTTGTCTCATTGGCAATCACACCACATCTTCTTATTTTTATTTCTATTGAAGTATATTTATACATAACACTCTCCCGTTTGTCGCGTGAACAATGCCGGACATAATCTTTTGATATATATAAGTTTTAAGTTGCTGTTGCTACAAACTCATCCTTAAAACCTTCACCAAAAACTTTAACCAGATTAACAGATGCTTTTAAAAACAAAACAAAAATATTTCCTTTAACATACTTGTCTAGTCTTGACTCCTGCATATTCTGTATATCTATGCTCCAAGTGTTTTGGGAGAATATTATGGAACATCTTTTGCATATGTGGGTGGCAATTGACAATAGATGTTGAGATTATAAAATTCAACTCCTTCCGCAGCTTTGTTTGGTCTTCAATAGATGGTAGAAAATCTATTACCGGCAGATCTTGATGTGCAAATTCTTCCCTTACCATAGGCACTGGCAGAATTCTGTCTACTATTGCATAAATATTGAACAAATGTACAGAAACTGTTTTCCGATCAGATGTCCTGTAAGAAGGAAGTATATTTTTGTCCCAGTTGTCCCCAATAAGTTGATATTTCTGACGACCACCTTTTTCCCATTCTTCTTTTATGCTAAGTATGGTTTTGTCTAAAAACTTTTGCCATTCTGCTAACTTTCTGTGTATAGTAACAGGATGCACACTTAATCCAAGATGCGATAGCCTTTCAATGTTCTACATATAAAATTAAAAAATAATGTTAAAAAAACATATACAAGTCAGGAGCCTGTAATTAAGTGGTTGTCGTTTGTTGCTGTGTTAGGCAAAAAAAAAGTATGTGTGTTTACTGTACCCCTACCTACCCTAATTTTTATCCCCTACCCTAAAGTTTTTTAGACCGTTTTTGATGAAGCACTGTTGAAGTCACAATGTTGCTCCCATAGACTCAATGTAAAAAAAGAAATAAACATTAAAAAAAATCCCTACCTACCCTAATTTTTTTTCCAGCATGTGACAGTAAACACACATACTTTTTTGTTTGGCCTAACATATTTGTTTTTCGTTCATTTATTTGCTCATTAATTAGGCCGTTAGTTTTCTCGTTTGAATTGTTTTTTCCATTTGTCATTTAGGGGCCTTTTAAAGCTGACTATGCGGCTTTGCTCATTGTTGAAGGCCGTACAGTGACCTATTTGTGTACATGGTTCCCTGTTTCGTCTCAACAGTCAATTGTCAACCAAAAAAGCAGCTTTCTTTTTTAAATTATCACATTAATAAGAAAGAGTTAAAGATGTATACATAAACTTTTGACTAGGATTACTCAAATGAACTTGTTTTCATAGATCTACACCATGCTAAAAGATTAACACAAATATTTGAAGAAGCATTAGCTCACAAATAATTTTATCACAATTAATCATAGTACCCTTTGTGTACATCCACCATGAGTCAACAAAAATCCTGTCATGAATTGTACCATTGACATCTCCTGGTTTCTGCCATGTAGACCAATTGCCGAAGTCATCAATACATGAAGAAATGGTTTACCAAGTACAGTAATTGGCACATTTGATACCATTGAATTTACTATTGACAAAAGTGCTGGATATTTTGCTTTGAGTTCATCGTTGAAATCATCCCAGTTAAAGTTAAAGAAGTTGGTGTAGTCTTTTTTTTGTAATACTGTCCCTGAACCTCTTTTTGAAATACATGCACTTTCCTCCTCTATAATTCTCCTACATCCATTAACTACCTCTAACGGATTTGTTTTACAGATAGCATCTACTATTAATTTGTCACTGTTGCTGCTACGCATAATAGCCTTGCATATTTTCTGGTTTGTTTCATTCTGGACCAGAAAAGTCTTTTTACCACTTGCATGGTACACTGTGATCTGTTATGAAATATTTAAAAGTTAATGGATTGAATATTTGTTCATGTTTAAGTACTTGTATGAAAAGGTTTTATTTTGCTGTATAAAATAAATCTTATATTCCTAAAATTTGCCGAAAATGATAAATTTGAAGCTTTGAAAGTTTGAACAAATTACATATATCATAAATAAATTTGTCTGGTGTTGCCGTAGAAGATAAGTGCAGGTTCCAGCCCCGGTCGGGGAGGAAGTAAAGAATAAGATCTACTCTAACATTGTTAGGTTGATTTTCTAGGCACTTTATAAATAAATTTGTCTGTGTACTTTACAAATGAACTCTGATATAAAAGATTTTCAACAATTAATTTAGTGAAATGTCCTACTACTATAATTAAACAAATGAGATTATAGTTGACTCAGTGTTTGGTCATTTTCTGTGACCTAAATGAGGGGTTATTTTCGTTCTTTGTGATTGGCGCATTTTCGCTATCGTGATCTGTTTTTCTACAGATTTTTTTTTTTTATATTTTCGTGATCTGTCATCATGGAAATTCATTTTCTGTGAATCGTGATTGACAAAAAAATCAACTTGTGAATAGTGATGAGACCCCCGCCCCCCCCCCCCCCCATCAGGCCCCTCCTAAATATATAATTGCTTATGTCCAAATTTGGTCTTAAAGAGTTGCCTCTCTTATTTATAATGAGCATTGTAGCCTCATTGATTTTCAAGCATTCTTCACACTATAAGTTTTGCACTTACCTTCTTATCAAGTATAGGTCCAAATATAAACTCAACTATTTAAATGATCATGAATTTTAACAATTTAACCTGTAATGCAAAATTATTCTGTTAGTTTTAACTGTAATGAACAAATGCAAATAAATATGAATAGTAGAAAAACCAGGAACCAGGATTCAGGATGTAATAAAATTTCATACTGTATGTTAATCTGTGCAACTTTATCACTAAGACATAACGTCTTAATAAGTCATACAATTATACCTAAAATATTTAATAATTCAATAAATGAAGTATTTGGACAATAAATAACAATATTAATTATTTTTAAGGTACGCCTCAGTTCATAGTTTTTCCACATCATAAATACGTTGAAAAATAAAACTTTAGAATTTATAAATTACAATCACATCATTGTAATCTAAATGATCCCCCCTTCTCATCACAAAAGCCATTAATTTGCATTTTTTTAGTTTGCCTTCCTTTTGATTAACTGAAAAGAATTAAAAACATTCATGTTGATACATGTATGCTTTTTAATTGGTACAAATAAGGTATAGTACCATTATATAAATTGCATTGATGTGTCACATAATCATAATAATACTAGCTACAGCAACATACATGTACATGTACAAATTTACAAGGACCAAAACTTTTATTATGAAAGGCAGCCATCTCAAATCATTTGTTCTTTGTGAAAACAAAAAATCTAAAAGCTATAAATGTACAAAATATGTATGTATAAACTTTTCATTGCCAGTATGATAATAAAAAATGTATCTCTTGGAGTCTTAAGCTTGGTCATTGTTGGTGCTTGTACATTACATGTGTAAGCTCAATCTCTGAAATAACAGTAATAATAAACTGAATTTAACTGGTTTAAATCTAATCTAATCTGAATGAAAAGTTATTGCCAGTAAATTACTACATTTTACTTAAACATGTACAAGTTTTATTTGAAGCAATTCAAATCATCTTATTTACATTGTTTTGTTTTATTACTCCATGAGAATGAAAAATTGTGTATACATGTATACATACAAATGTATACATTTAGTATTGCATGGCATGGTACAAAAAATGTATGTGTGCTGAAACATCAAACTCTTTTAAATTTCTAACATTATACATTTTTGCAAGCTAGCTTATTTTGATTAGATAACCATAGGGTTGAGCAGAAAACTTTAATTTATTACATGTACATGGTTATTGTACACATTGCTTAATGTCATTACTGGCAACAACTTATATAAAATAAAAAAAAAAGATAACATTTTGCTTGGCACCTCTACTTCTCCTTTGCATTTGGTTGTTGATAAATTTTCTTTCCCGACTCCAGAAAATTTTAGAGACCTCTTGATTGACTTATTGGGTGCTGACACAGTAACTGTAGATTGGAAATAGTTACACTCAATTGTAACAATAGTGGAAGATTTGTATATATATATATAGTACATACTGGTAACTTAATAGGGTTGAGATCTCACAAAACATGTTTAACCCCATGCCACTGCATATAATATTAGCACTTGTCCCAAGTCAGGTCCCTCAGCTGGCCTTTGTTAGTCTTGTATGTTTTTAAATTTTAGTTCATTTATATGCTTCGGAGTGATGTCCATTTTCATCCACTAGTACACATTTCTGTTTAGAAGCCAGCTAAAGCCCGCCTCCAATCGTGTGATTTTCTCGCTGTGTTGAAGACCCATTTTTGGCCTTGGGCTGTATTATGCCCTTTGATTGGGTTGTTGTCCATGTTGTCACTTTGACCCATTTCCAGTCTCAATTTCAATTCAACTCAGTACAAATGTATGTAGCATTACTGAACACAAACTGCATAATGCCTCCCTTATTTTAATATTAATTTATTTTTTTATATGTGTAACAAGTTTGTTTATCAGAAGTAAACTTACCTGAATTGTCTGATAACTGTGTTTGTTGATCAAGCATTGGCAAAGGAGTAATTCCTTGTATTAACTGTTTCTGCAGCATTGGAGCTGGCATTGGAGCTATTGCTACTAATTGTTCTCCACTGGTTGCCTTGATCACAATTGATTGGAAACTTGGGACATTACACAACGTCTTAACAGACGGACTTGTTGGTAATGTTTTAATTTGTTTTGAAACTTGTGCTGTTGATGGGGATCTTAACATCCGTTTCTCAATGTTAAATTTGTTAGGTGAGGGTAAATTAAGCACACTCTGTTGCACTTTTAAACGTGAAGCTGACAACTCAACCTGCATTTTCAATGAATCTTTTTGCAGTTTTATTGACTGCTCTACTTTTCGGAAGCATTTCATGCAGACACCATTGTCTTTGTCTAAGTCTGCATTAACTTTGAAACAAGTAACAACAGTTGTAATTTGAGATACTCTGTCGGGGGTCAATTTCAGTTTTTGTTTGAAGAGTTTTTTTTCAACCCGCTCTCCCGTTGGCAAAATTTCAATGTTTATGAACGAAAATCCACACAATACACAACTGTTTGACCTCATACATATCTTTCTCGGCGTATTTAATTGACACGACGCCATTTAAATTATTTGGTAGTGTGTTAATTCAATAAATTTTGACGATTTAGTTCATGAAATGAACATCGCATGGAGGCTGCCATATTTGTTATTTTACATTCGGAACAACTCTAGACGCCACGATAACGTCTATGCCTGTTCAATACCCAAAGATTTTGAAGCCGCGTCGTTGATTGGCTACAGCAAATTTGACCTTAGACAGGGTTATCAATCGGGTGTATTAAGATCTCACACGGCGACATATAAAAAATCAAGGAGCAAGTGATGTGAACTTATTTTAATAAGATTGGATTACGAATAAGACATCTCTTGATCAATGACACCATTTAGTTAAAGTAAACAATTATAGGTCACATCTTCAAGTTGCCTCACATCAAACTGTAAAGGGTCCAAAGATCTGTGTATAACAATTCTAACAGGACAGACATTTGATCAAAACAATAAACGAAAAGCACATATGAACTATATGCTAAAATAGGTTTTCGACTTGGACCCAAATTTTACTTTTTGTCTGGTCTGCGTCTTCTTTTGCAGAAAGCGAGACTTAGGGATAGTGATGCGGCAATGACGTAAGCTTGACTTAAAAACTTATTATTTTTAAAGATAGAAAACCTTGATGCTTCATACTTTGTATACAGATGTCTTATGTTACAAACTTTTCACCCGTCATGACTAATGACCTTGACCTCATTTTCATGGTTCAGTGACTACTTGAAAAAAAAAGTTGAATTTTTGCAATGTCAATCTTATTAAAATATTTTTACATTACTTGCTCCTTGATTTTTTTATATGTGGTGCAGTGTGTGTTGAACAGGCAAGACATTTAAGTGTGTCCACTCTTGTTAATGAGTATTCTTAGGTTAGAGTTTTTGTGAGTGCTAGGACACATTTGAGTATACATGTATTGTGGTGCTAGACATTACTAAAAATAAACGAACTTGACATTTGGTTAAACTAGTAACACCATATGCCTATGTTACTATTGGTGAAACCTATGTTGACCTTTATATCTAATTTTTTTTGTTGGATTACTGTCTCACTTGTGTATACCACTTACTGCTGGCCCATGGATACCCATTATTTTTACACTTGTGTATTCCCCTAACTACTGCTTGTATACCCCTATTGCTGTCTCACTTGTGTATACGTGTTGTCACATTTGTGTATACCCCTCACCCTAGGCCTCCTTTCAGAAATAATTTCTTCCTCAAATCATGAAATTTTATGGTTTCTTTTGGACAATTAGGAATTGTTATTTTTATAAAGTTTAATCGCAGTTTGAATGAGCCTGTATTGAACCAGAAACATGAACAACACAAATTGTTTTTAATCATCTTGTATTTCTAAAAGACCCAAATCAAGGTCTTCAAAATAATCATACTCCGACAGGTTGTAGCTTTCAGTGTCACTATCTGAAAAAGAATCGTCATGTCCCTCTTCGACAACATGTTCAGCCAGAAAAAGTTTTTCTAAAGGCAACAAAGTGCACGAATTACAACTACATCTGCTTGCACACAGGTCGCAACATGAATGCTTCCCACACTCTTTCGATTCCATTTCATGCAAGTCAGAATTTCTCAAAAAGTTTGACATTAACTCCTTCCTCCTACATTCTTTTGTCCTTAAAATAGCCTTCACTTCCGGGCTTAATTTCTGCTGGTGGTAACCATTATACAGAATAATGGCAACAGATGGATTGCCATCCCTGCCTACTCGCCCTATTTCCTGTAACATGTCCACAAGGTTATTTGGAGGTCCAAATAAAATCACAGAGTTGCACATCTTTACATCAAACCCCATTCCCAAGGCACTGGTTGATAGAATTATCCTTATAGCACTGCCTTCATCCTTCAAAGCATGTATTATCATGTTCTTATTGCTATCTGGTGTCTCAGAATGAAACATCTCTACATACTTTGTGCAACTGGGAAGTTCAGTAGTAATGTATTTATATAATTTGGAGGTGTCATTTATTGATGAACAGTAAATTATGGTTCTTGGGAAATCTCCTTTCTTTTCATCTAAGGCATCTACCAACCATGTCATCCCCATCTCGATTTCATTTTTTATTTTTGAGGACACAAGTTTGATGTTTGATTTGTTTGGTGACATATTTATTTCTTTGGTATCATCAGTTAATTGCAAAATTTTCATAACTTTTTGGCGGATGTTGACTGTGCAAGTTGCACTCAAAGCTAGTACTGTAGCCTCTGGAAAAAGAGATCTCAATTCCCCAATATTACCAAACCACTTTCTAAAGGCTTCTTTTCTTCCTCCTTCACCTTGACCCCTGAAAATGTAAAAATATGTAAATCTATAAATGACTAGTATCTAGGTAGTTTCACTTAAACATAATTTATAAGGCTACAAAATATAGAGAATGTGTCCAAACTTGCATTTTACATTATAAAAGGTCATAAGGGAACAACCATTTAAATAATTGTAATAGCGTTGAAAAAATAAATAAAATTGTTCGTGCAAAGCAAAAAAACCATAGCCCCCCCCCCCCCCCCTTGAAGTTAAATGTGACACTGCCCAAATTCAAACTTGAACAGTGTTTTGTGGTAACAAGTCTTGTATATATATATATATATATATATGTAATTGTTTCTTTTATTTGAGGCAAATTAAAGTTAGAGAATGGAAACAACAGATTTTGCAATTTTTCCATTAATAAAGGGGCTTTAAGTGACACCACCCAAATTTGAAATTAAAATGTGTTTGTATAAGTTTCAAAAACATTTTGAGACAAACTAAAGTTACAGAATCAAAAATTATGGGACGTGTATGTACAGACAGACAGACGGACGGATAAGGGTAAAACTTAATGCCCAATTGCCTAGTTACAGTGGTATAAAAAAGGCTGAAGGTACATTTTAATGTTCCAACTCTTACCTTTTCTCAGCAGTTTTAATTGACAGGTTCTGACATTTTTGTTATTTTTTTACATAATTTTTCTCATTGATTTGTAGTGTTCACTCAATCAATGGTGAGGTCTTTAGTTTGGTTTTGCTCATTGTTGAAAGTTGCACTGTTGCCTATTGTAACTTTGTGTGCAACTTAATTATTTGGTTGCTCTGCCACATAATGGTGCTAATACACTTAACAAATATGTTCATTATATATACTAGGGCTTATAACAATGTAGGATACAATAAAGAAGTTGGATTTGAAGTTTAAATAATACAAAAACTCAATATACATTTCCTTGAAAAAAGATAAAGAAATGGTGAAATATATGTTTGGCCTTTGATTTGTTTTGGGAGACCCACTTTTTTTGCCCAAAGAAACATATACATGTACATGTGTATAGTTATAAGTAAACATTAATATTGAAAAAGGGCATTGCCTGTACTTACCAAATTGCTATTGTGTGAAACTCATCAATCACAATTACTTTTATGTTTAACTTCTTCAAGCAATTTCTCCATTCTGGATCACCTACTAATGTTTCTGGGGATGCATAAATTATGTCTATCAACCCGTCCTTGATATTGTCATCAATCTGGGAAGATGATCCTAAAATTAGAAAAAGATACATTAAATGTGTGTTGACAGTCAATATTAAACACAAGTAATAAAAAACAATTGCTTACACATACATGTAGTTTAAAGCAGATTAAGGGCTTTAAAATAAATATTACTTTGTTTGCTGTTCAGCTACCTACCCTGAAATATTGGCACTACCCAAGTAGTTTGATTGGAATTTAATACGCCATTTTCCAACACAAATAATCGTTATGCTCGTGTCTGTTTTAGATAGTTTATTTTGTTGAACAGTCTTCACACTAAGACACAGGCCCAGCAGCCCAGGCTTGTAAAATGTTTGGTGTGTGTATGTAGGTATACAAATCTAAGTCAATGGCTTCTTTTAATGATAAATGCAATTAAATTAAGATTTTTCTGTCGATGTGAAAATTTTTCACCTTGCCTTATGATGTAAATGTGAGACCTGTTAAAAAACCACACCGTGTCACAATTTATTTATAACCTCTTAAAACTTAATTTTGCCTGTTCCTATAGTATGGAGGACAGACATTTCATATTTCATTCCGACACGGCTCAGTTATTTATATTCAGCTTGTCACAGGACAAGTTATTTACTTTTTAAAAAAAATCTTGCCCCCCCCCCTTTTATCAAATTGTCATCTGAAATCTTGTCAAATTGTATTATGTTGAAATAGTGGCAGTCTTTAGGGCCAGGTTTAAATATAAGAGTGATGCACATGTATATTTTCATTCTGTACATACATGATTTGATCACACAATGAGCTCTCTACTTTAAATTGTTGAGCCTTGAGGCTTTCGTGTTATGAAACACTTACCTTTGTATGCAGCAGAAAGGTTGGCAATATGAGATAGTTTCTCAACTTGGTCCTGCATTAACGCCACAAGGGGACAGCAGACTAACACCTTCCAGTCGGAACTGTTTTCACAAATCTCTCGAACTACTGGTAGGTACAGTTGAAAAGGCAACGACTTGCCAAACCCAGTCGGGAGGACAGCAACACAGTTCTTCTTACTAACTAAACATTCCAATATTACTTTTTGCTCCGTCTTTATACTATCTATGCCGAAATTTGGCAAAACATGAATCAAAACATCTTCTACACTGGGCGCTGCCATTTTTTTCAACGATACCGATAACGGTTTGAGAGCGCTTTGTTGATTGGTTTATTGTGAATGCCTTTCTAGACGCTGATTGGTCGGTCAAAGTTCAGCAAATTTGACCTTAGACAGGGTTATCAATCGGGTGTATTAAGATCTCACACGGCGACATATAAAAAATCGAGGAGCAAGTGATGTGAACTTATTTTAATAAGATTGGATATTACCGTTTTTCATTAAGTGGGGCGAGTTGGCAGGAGTAATATTAACGGGATTTAACCCTTTTCAAAAGTGGGGCGATTTTTTAAAAAGTGGGGCGAGTTGGTAAACCAGTTGGGGCGATTTTTTTAAAAGTGGGGCGAGTTGTTGAAAAAGTGGGGCGATTAGGTGTGGGGCGATTTGCCAGTGGGGCGATTTGTCCTGCTTCCTTATCCATGCCCACCGTCATTTTACACCAAATTTGTGAAATTTTGGAAGTCTTTTCGAATAGTTCTCTAGAAAATATTTCAATGGGTTTCAAAATTTATATTGTAAATATACACACTGCAGTTATTTATAGATAAATAAAAAAATATATTGTACCCTTACATCCAATCACAGCGCTCCTAAGTTGACTTCCTTCACCTGCCTTGGGTACACAAAAGGCCAACCTAATGCTGGGAAAATGTAAAAGTACTGTTTTCCCCATACTGTGACATAAAGATATAAAGAATTCTTATAACACCATTAATGCAATACTGGGTTATTTTGAAAACCTTGGCTATAATAAAAACTTGTATGCCCCCATTACTTATAGAAACATGGATCATTTTATGTCCCCACCCCTACATGCTGGGTTACCTCTTTCTGTACTTCTTTCAGATAAGGCTTAATAAACAACCTGTATCCAATCATATCTCATCTTATTTAAAAGAATAACAAACAGTTCCATTTAAACAGATAAAAATGACAGTTCCATTCAATTTGTATTCATTTTCATCCAAAATTTACAACATAAGCACAAATTCAAGATTTTTCATACAAATCTCCATTCCATGCTTTAGTATATACCATATTGTGGTTCAAAATTTCAGAGATTGTTATAAAATCCCTTATTCTGTCTTGAGATGATAAAAACAAAGATATTAGACACTTAAAACATTAAATATGCAAAATACTCAGCTGTAAAGCTGCCTTTGTTGCCTGTATTAATCTATGAATAGGCTGAATTATGTCCCTTGGGAGTATTAATTTCCAACAAAAGTCCTTTCAAACAGAAGAAAATGAAAAATTATATATGCTTGATATAATAAAAGATAGAAACTACAAAATGAAGCATTATTGAAATGTTTGCTGCACGAATTGCCAAGAGTGTGAACAATTCTTTACACAGGAGAGTATAAATTCTATCTAAATTTAGCCTCAAGTGGGCCTCTTTTTTCTTAGATGGACAATTTTAACACTGAAAATGCTTCTAGTATGACCAAATATTGCCTTACTCCATAAGCAGTAGAAACTTAACCAGACAATTTCCCATTTTAATAGATTATGTCTTGGGAAATACCCAAGTTATACATTTAGGGAGTTACACAGCAAAAAAGGCATATATGTCAGTTAAAAATATTTGTCGTGACTTGAATTCTGGTGTTTCCAATTGAATTAATCATTGCGAAAGGTGAAAACAAATACAAAAGAACTTTAGTTTGGTGCATTTAATATAATATAGTTAATATTGAAATCCTAGAATAAAGTTTTATATCAGTACCCATCAATTTGACTTATTATGATGACTCAGCACTTTTCTCAACACAGTATTGGTCTAAGTGAAAAGTTTCTTTTCTTTGTGATAAAAATCAAATGTACTCATCAAAAGCTTCAAAATAGTATAATCTAACTGAAGTTTGATTGATTTTGATTTCTCTTGCTATCTTCAGTATAGGGAAAACGGTACTATTTATTCTGTCATAGGTGACAATACTAACATTTTCTAAATTTACCACTTTTTATAATAAAAACCTGTCTAAAACAGTTATGTGTGGTGTTAGTACTTTATTATTCTGTTTTAAAAATTGAAGCCATATAGTATCATGACCAACTTCCAACGGAGCTTGTTTATGTTATCCATGCCCACCGTCATTTTACACCAAATTTGTGAAATTTTGGAAGTCTTTTCGAATAGTTCTCTAGAAAATATTTCAATGGGTTTCAAAATTTATATTGTAAATATACACACTGCAGTTATTTATAGATAAATAAAAAAATATATTGTACCCTTCCATCCAATCACAGCGCTCCTAAGTTGACTTCCTTCACCTGCCTTGGGTACACAAAAGGCCAACCTAATGCTGGGAAAATGTAATAGTACTGTTTTCCCTATACTGTGACATAAAGATATAAAGAATTCTTATAACACCATTAATGCAATACTGGGTTATTTTGAAAACCTTGGCTATAATAAAAACTTGTATGCCCCCATTACTTATAGAAACATGGATCATTTTATGTCCCCACCCCTACATGCTGGGTTACCTCTTTCTGTACTTCTTTCAGATAAGGCTTAATAAACAACCTGTATCCAATCATATCTCATCTTATTTAAAAGAATAACAAACAGTTCCATTTAAACAGATAAAAATGACAGTTCCATTCAATTTGTATTTATTTTTATCCAAAATTTACAACATAAGCACAAATTCAAAATTTTTCATACAAATCTCCATTCCATGCTTTAGTATATACCATATTGTGGTTCAAAATTTCAGAGATTGTTATAAAATCCCTTATTCTGTCTTGAGATGATAAAAACAAAGATTTTAGACACTTAAAACATTAAATATGCAAAATACTCAGCTGTAAAGCTGCCTTTGTTGCCTGTATTAATCTATGAATAGGCTGAATTATGTCCCTTGGGAGTATTAATTTCCAACAAAAGTCCTTTCAAACAGAAGAAAATGAAAAATTATATATGCTTGATATAATAAAAGATAGAAACTACAAAATGAAGCATTATTGAAATGTTTGCTGCACGAATTGCCAAGAGTGTGAACAATTCTTTACACAGGAGAGTATAAATTCTATCTAAATTTAGCCTCAAGTCTTTTTTCTTAGATGGACAATTTTAACACTGAAAATGCTTCTAGTATGACCAAATATTGCCTTACTCCATAAGCAGTAGAAACTTAACCAGACAATTTCCCATTTTAATAGATTATGTCTTGGGAAATACCCAAGTTATACATTTAGGGAGTTACACAGCAAAAAAGGCATATATGTCAGTTAAAAATATTTGTCGTGACTTGAATTCTGGTGTTTCCAATTGAATTAATCATTGCGAAAGGTGAAAACAAATACAAAAGAACTTTAGTTTGGTGCATTTAATATAATATAGTTAATATTGAAATCCTAGAATAAAGTTTTATATCAGTACCCATCAATTTGACTTATTATGATGACTCAGCACTTTTCTCAACACAGTATTGGTCTAAGTGAAAAGTTTCTTTTCTTTGAGATAAAAATCAAATGTACTCATCAAAAGCTTCAAAATAGTATAATCTAACTGAAGTTTGATTGATTTTGATTTCTCTTGCTATCTTCAGTATAGGGAAAACGGTACTATTTATTCTGTCATAGGTGACAATACTAACATTTTCTAAATTTACCACTTTTTATAATAAAAACCTGTCTAAAACAGTTATGTGTGGTGTTAGTACTTTATTATTCTGTTTTAAAAATTGAAGCCATATAGTATCATGACCAACTTCCAACGGAGCTTGTTTATGTTATCCATGCCCACCGTCATTTTACACCAAATTTGTGAAATTTTGGAAGTCTTTTCGAATAGTTCTCTAGAAAATATTTCAATGGGTTTCAAAATTTATATTGTAAATATACACACTGCAGTTATTTATAGATAAATAAAAAAATATATTGTACCCTTCCATCCAATCACAGCGCTCCTAAGTTGACTTCCTTCACCTGCCTTGGGTACACAAAAGGCCAACCTAATGCTGGGAAAATGTAATAGTACTGTTTTCCCTATACTGTGACATAAAGATATAAAGAATTCTTATAACACCATTAATGCAATACTGGGTTATTTTGAAAACCTTGGCTATAATAAAAACTTGTATGCCCCCATTACTTATAGAAACATGGATCATTTTATGTCCCCACCCCTACATGCTGGGTTACCTCTTTCTGTACTTCTTTCAGATAAGGCTTAATAAACAACCTGTATCCAATCATATCTCATCTTATTTAAAAGAATAACAAACAGTTCCATTTAAACAGATAAAAATGACAGTTCCATTCAATTTGTATTTATTTTTATCCAAAATTTACAACATAAGCACAAATTCAAAATTTTTCATACAAATCTCCATTCCATGCTTTAGTATATACCATATTGTGGTTCAAAATTTCAGAGATTGTTATAAAATCCCTTATTCTGTCTTGAGATGATAAAAACAAAGATTTTAGACACTTAAAACATTAAATATGCAAAATACTCAGCTGTAAAGCTGCCTTTGTTGCCTGTATTAATCTATGAATAGGCTGAATTATGTCCCTTGGGAGTATTAATTTCCAACAAAAGTCCTTTCAAACAGAAGAAAATGAAAAATTATATATGCTTGATATAATAAAAGATAGAAACTACAAAATGAAGCATTATTGAAATGTTTGCTGCACGAATTGCCAAGAGTGTGAACAATTCTTTACACAGGAGAGTATAAATTCTATCTAAATTTAGCCTCAAGTCTTTTTTCTTAGATGGACAATTTTAACACTGAAAATGCTTCTAGTATGACCAAATATTGCCTTACTCCATAAGCAGTAGAAACTTAACCAGACAATTTCCCATTTTAATAGATTATGTCTTGGGAAATACCCAAGTTATACATTTAGGGAGTTACACAGCAAAAAAGGCATATATGTCAGTTAAAAATATTTGTCGTGACTTGAATTCTGGTGTTTCCAATTGAATTAATCATTGCGAAAGGTGAAAACAAATACAAAAGAACTTTAGTTTGGTGCATTTAATATAATATAGTTAATATTGAAATCCTAGAATAAAGTTTTATATCAGTACCCATCAATTTGACTTATTATGATGACTCAGCACTTTTCTCAACACAGTATTGGTCTAAGTGAAAAGTTTCTTTTCTTTGAGATAAAAATCAAATGTACTCATCAAAAGCTTCAAAATAGTATAATCTAACTGAAGTTTGATTGATTTTAATTTCTC